TCTGCGAGACGTTGTTGCGCGGATCTCAGTCATTGCAATGTACTTATACTTAAATATATGTAGTGAACTATTTGTGATCTCATTAATACGATCCTTGTAAAGTCATACGCTGCGCTATTTGCAACAATAATTCTATGTTCCCGTTACTATACTATGATCGTGACTACGTATATGTTTCACGTTTGCGTTCGCGACGGATGTCTTGCCGGTACTCGGTGTCGCGCAACTTGATACTTGTTATCGCGGACGCGTAATGTGTTGTCTGTTTAACTCTAATCGAACTTTTCCGGCGCACGTTTAGGCGCGGCCGCTTATATAGGATTTTTTGTTCTATTGCAATTTGCGATGGTCCGCAATCATATTTGCTCATGGGAAGTCAAGTGCCAGCTTCCCATGCGACCTTCGTTCGCGCTTGCTCGCGAGAAATTTGCAAGCTTGCAGTCTTGCATTTCCGTTCGCTCGTTGCCATGCATGCGTTGCTATGCCGAAATGCAAGGCTGATAGCGTGATAGCACTCGGACTATAACATATGTAATGATAACTGTTGTTAATTAATTTGTTAAAAAATTACTACGCAATAACTACCGCGCTGATTCCTGTAAATCATTTATATCTTAAATGTTGATAATTAATTGAAAATCTATTAATTTATTATTTTTAGTTTCAATCACAAATATTTATTAATTGCGGGATATCATAGATGTTATAAGTGCCGCGATGAGTAGATTAAAATCTTAAATATAATGATACTTTCAAGCTTTTGTTAGAAACATCCCAGATAGCCAAACTTGTCAAGAGCACGTATTGTAAATTGTGTGTTGCATATTATGTTAGTAGAATTGCGGCAATAACCGAGCACAATTTGTTGTTTTAATTATTATCATCAAAAATATATCAGAAAACAAGCAAGTCTTGCATTATAACATGCTAGAAAAAATACTGCAAAAATTCAACACAAATTGCTGACATTAAGAAAACAAAATTTGAGCATTACGTATTAGCATAGTGTATAAGCAAAAAATAAAGCGAAATTGAGAATGACATTAACATCAAGATGTGTTAGCAGATTAATGTTAGAGATCAAGCTTACTTACACGCAAATCGTAACAGCAGAAACGCAGCAAAAATCGTGCATGCGCTG